TACATATATATATATATATATATATATGTATATAATGTTTGTATAAAAACTATATATATATATACACACACACACACACACACACATACACACACATATGCATACATATATGTTACAGTTTTTTAAAAATGTAAAGTTAAAAAAAATTGATATGGATGAGATCTTAGATAAAAAAGAAATGATGCATGATGGCAGAGTTTTCCACTCTCAGTTTCATGTCACTGCTTTTAATCTATGTTTATTATCTCCATAATCAAGTAGAGGAAGTACAAAGACTTTGAATTTGTGGCTTCTAACAGAACTAGCATGCATTTGTTTTTAAACCTTTTATCTTTATGAAAGAGGACACAATCTTGCTCCGAGATTCTCACGATACTGCTGTGACCCAACTAACATCGCAAACCTACACACCTTCCATGTTGCAAAAAGTCATGTTTCGTTGCAGCTCTGATTCAGCGGTTCACACTAACAGCTTCTATGCACACGAATGCACAAAGAATACAAGGATCTAAAGCATTGTGATATATGATTGTATCAGTACAACCCTGAATTTGAATATATTTTAGATTGTAAACAGCTCATTTTGAGGTCAACCTCAATCTGACTAATTTTTCTTCTTAACACTGAAAAATGGCTCTTATTAATGAAATGGATCAAATACCACAGCCCCTGGCCACCCACCAGTTCCTGGTTGTTTACCACTCGCTGGTTTTCCTCGAACAGTGAAGAGTTCTTGGAAAATCTTGGCTGTGCAAAGAGCGTCTCGAGCCCCTTCAGATCCCTCATATATTCCACTAGCGAGCACACACTCTTTTACTACAAAAGCCTCTGATTAGCTGAGTCCATTGTCCTTCACAGCCAAAGCATAATGCTGTAGTGTTGCGTGTGACGTACCATCTGCACTTCATCTGCTCTGTGTTTAATTAGATTGTGGGTTCAGTGGTTCAGGGAATATTTACTGTGCGTATATCTCTCAGCTATCTCTAATCTGAACTCTTGTGCATACGGTTCTTTATGGTCATCTACACCGGATGAATTATGCAGTTTAAACATTATAATTTGTCCCACAATCTCCACCACATTCAGATCTGGCATTAACATTTGTTTCATATCCAGATATCTTAAGAAGTTTTTTTCTTAAAGTGCGCTCACATTTACCATTGCTCATCGAAATTTTGCGGATGAAATCCAATCATTCGCTCATGTTGCTCACATGATTTTCCTTTCTGAGCTATGCTTCATATATCGCTACGTTATTGACCAACAATGGACCCTTTTTTCTTTCTTTCAATTTTCGCTAATTTCATGACTATGCCCTTATTTTCTCTGTAACCTTTTGCAGTACAGGTCAGGAAGTAAAAAAGTGACTGGTAAAATTGTTCTCGTTTTCTTTTCCCTCAGGACCTCTCTGGTCTGGATGATCTGTCGATCTTCTCCCCTCCGACCGACTCTTTATCCGAATACACCGTTAACAACTTAATCAACACTGAAATGCCTCCCAATGTGCCCACGATATGGGACATTAAAACATCACCAGCATCAGTCCAAGAGGTGAGGCTAATTCCTGACAGCAAATGCATTTTATTCCAGTCGTGGGTGTGGCCTAATGGTTAGAGAGTCAGACTTGTAACCCAAAGGTTGCGGGTTCGATTCTCAGGTCTGGCAGGAATTGTCGGTAGGGGGAGTGAATAACCAGCACTCCACCTTTAATACCACGACTGAGGTGAGACCCTTGAGCAAGGCACCGAACCCCCAACTGCTCCCCGGGTGCCGCAGCAATATGGCTGCCCACTGCTCCGGGTGTGTGTTCACAGTGTGTGTGTGTGTGTTCACTGCTGTGTGTGTGCACTTGGATAGGTTAAATGCAGAGTACAAATTCCGAATATGGGTCACCATACTCGGCCACACGTCACTTTACTTCAAATGCTAATGTTGAACTTAACCAATTGTTTACAGTAGTTTTTGGCATTTGTGCTGAATATTATTTCCGCAGTACGAGAAACAACACCTGTGAGTGACACACCCATAAACATTGTTCCCGCTCTGATAGTAAAGCATGTGATTTTTCTGTTAGCTTTAACTTTTTCTTTCAATCTCTTTTGTTTTTCTTTTTCCTCCTCAGTTGAATTCTAACAGGAATCCAATCATTCGCTCATGTTGCTCACATGAATTTGCCATGCTGAGCTATGCTTCATATATCGCTACGTTATTGACCAACAATGGACCCTTTTTTTTTTCTTTCAATTTTCGCTAATTTCATGACTATGCCCTTATTTTCTCTGTAACCTTTTGCAGTACAGGTCAGGAAGTAAAAAAGTGACTGGTAAAATTGTTCTCGTTTTCTTTTCCCTCAGGACCTCTCTGGTCTGGATGATCTGTCGATCTTCTCCCCTCCGACCGACTCTTTATCCGAATACACCGTTAACAACTTAATCAACACTGAAATGCCTCCCAATGTGCCCACGATATGGGACATTAAAACATCACCAGCATCAGTCCAAGAGGTGAGGCTAATTCCTGACAGCAAATGCATTTTATTCCAGTCGTGGGTGTGGCCTAATGGTTAGAGAGTCAGACTTGTAACCCAAAGGTTGCGGGTTCGATTCTCAGGTCTGGCAGGAATTGTCGGTAGGGGGAGTGAATAACCAGCACTCCACCTTTAATACCACGACTGAGGTGAGACCCTTGAGCAAGGCACCGAACCCCCAACTGCTCCCCGGGTGCCGCAGCAATATGGCTGCCCACTGCTCCGGGTGTGTGTTCACAGTGTGTGTGTGTGTGTGTTCACTGCTGTGTGTGTGCACTTGGATAGGTTAAATGCAGAGTACAAATTCCGAATATGGGTCACCATACTCGGCCACACGTCACTTTACTTCAAATGCTAATGTTGAACTTAACCAATTGTTTACAGTAGTTTTTGGCATTTGTGCTGAATATTATTTCCGCAGTACGAGAAACAACACCTGTGAGTGACACACCCATAAACATTGTTCCCGCTCTGATAGTAAAGCATGTGATTTTTCTGTTAGCTTTAACTTTTTCTTTCAATCTCTTTTGTTTTTCTTTTTCCTCCTCAGTTGAATTCTAACAGGTTTCAAGGTTTAAACTCGTTGGATGACATCACTGCTATCATTAATACACCACCCATTGGAGGTTATCAGGTAACTCCCAATCAACAGTTGTTAATTGCTTTTAATAATGATATATAATAATAGTAATAAAATACTATTAAATAATAAAAATATATTTTTTATTCACAATATTTTTATTGTGTTTAAATAAATGATTTTTAAATAAAAACATAAAAATGTAATAATAAAAATACAAATATATTTTTACTAAAATATAAATATAATTTCTTCAACATGTAAGAAAGATTTTAAGGTATCTGTAAAGTCAAACTGTCTTTCTCTTTCTGTTTTTCTTCTCTTTCTTAATCTTATCACGTGTTTACACAGAGACCCCAAACACAGCCAGAAGAGGAAGAGGAAGTCGAGGTGGAGGAGACAGAAGAGTTGGGTCATGTTGACACCTATGCAGACTACAGGCCCTCTAAATGTTAGCATTGCTTTTATGCACACATTTTATGGCTATTAATGTCATACTGGAAGATTCATATTGTTTTCGCTCTCTGTATTGTTGTCTCAGCCAAGATAGGAATATCCCACCCAGACCGAGTGGTGGAGACCAACACTTTATCCAGCGTACCTCCTCCAGATATCACCTACACCCTGTCCATCCCAGAGACCACCATGAATTTTGCCAAACGATGTTGATATTTGGAAGCACCAAAACAAACATGGCCATACCCCAACAGGACCTTGTCCCTATTTTGATAAGTCTGCCCCACATGTACGTACACAACCCAGTGACGATGGCGGAATCTCCTATGCCTGCTGGCCACAGCATATTCAAGCAAAAGCCAACACAGATTAGTTGTGTGAAACAAAGCAAAATCCACATAACTCACCTATCAAGAAGAAACAAAGCAACCTCGCGTCCGATTCCAGGCCTTTCCCGCTCCTTGAGTTCTGTCCACCGCTGGAAAGCTGCGCCAATATTTACGTGGGTCCTACCTCTTGCCTGATCGTAACCCCTCTTTTTAATGTTTTGTTCCTCCAAAATTTTCCTCTTTTTTTTTTTTTTTTTAATCTGCCATCTCTTTCTATAGTCGATCTGCTAATATCCATCCTGTGCACTCACTGAGCGCTCTCTTCTCCCTATCATTACTAGACACGGGTGTATTTTGGGACTGAGTCCAACACTGTGGTCAAAAGCGTTTTTCAAATATTGCTTAGTGCACCTTTAATTTTAGATTACATTTTAAAAGTTATACACTTTCATTCAATTCAGCATCGGCATTTCTGTCATAATCTCACAAACATCCCTGTAGTTCCATCATAAAGACATAGTAAATTCAGCATCCCACTGATTGTTTGCAAATATTTTGTACTTTCTCGTCATTAACAGACCATTAATATTGACTTCTTTATAACACTCTACAGCAACATGAAGTGATTCTCCAGAACAACCAGCGGGCCGGCTTCCTCATAGGGGACGGAGCTGGAGTTGGCAAAGGCCGCACAGTGGCTGGCATCATTCTAGAAAACTACTTAAAGGGAAGGAAGAAAGCACTATGGTAAGCGATCTCCAGATCCATCAAGCCCTACAAAACTCCACATCAAACACCAACTCTAGATACGTTGCCTTATCCTCCTCATCTCTCCTCCAGGTTCAGCGTCTCCAATGACCTGAAATATGACGCAGAGAGAGATCTCCAAGACATCCATGCACCCAATATACAAGTGCATGCCTTGAATAAGGTCACTATTACTCTGCAGCTCAGTACAGCAGCCCTGTTAACGGAGATCACGTTTCCAGTGTAGCAAATTCTCACAGACTTTCCCCGTAGCGTTTCTCAACATGGCTAACTGTAACTGTTTTCCATGCAGATAAAGTACGGAGACACAGCTACCTCAGAAGGAGTCTTGTTTGCCACCTACTCGGCACTAATTGGGGAGAGTCAGGCAGGCGGCCAACACCGAACGCGTCTGAAGCAGATCCTAGACTGGTGTGAGCCGGGTTTTGATGGAGTTGTATCCTTTGCCTTCTATGTGCATAAAATGGTTTTTGGCAGGGGGTTTCTAACTCTGTGTTGCCTTAAACCCTTTGAAAAACACTTTTCCAAAATTAAAGCAATATTAAAAAATAAATGTTATCACAATAATCGTGGCCTAAATGGTTAGAGAGTCGGACTCGTAACCCAAAGGTTGCG